CTCTGCTGTACTGTAGGTTATAAGTGGGTCACTGTATAATGGATGGTATTAAATTTGAATTCAATGATATAATATCATTGTATAAGAAAAACGATTCTGAGTGGAGACGGTATGTCAATCTAGGTTAAGACATATTATATACATATTACATATATATTGTATTAAAATAAAATTGATCTATAATAAATTCCAAATTAATCATATCACAATATCCATTAGGTACTTATAAGCGTTATACATCAACAACAAACCGTGATACTATCATAGATATATAAATATAATACACTTTAGAAGTTTCAAGTACCTACGAATAATATTATACAATCACAACAAAATAACTAAAATAGTTATTCTAGGTTTTTTCTTTTTTAATATATAATTTCGTCCAAATTTAAATTTAAAATGTCTGTAAAAAATAACTGTGTTCATATATTTTTTAGATTTTTTGGTTACAGTATGAACTATTCATGAGAACCTCTGTTTTAAATTTGCAGTCCTTAGCTATAAAAAACTGAACATTTTATAATTTATTAATTACAATGATTGATAATTTTCGAGATTTTGATAAATTTTGTCAAAATTCGATCTTTAAATGCTTATAAAAAGAAATTGTGCATATGTATTTGAAATATTTTTCAAACTGATATTATAACAATATATCAGGAGCCTTGTATTAAATTTTTATACTTTTTGACCCAACAGATAAAACTTTATTGATATTTAAAGAAAAAAAAACTAAAAAAATCGAAAACTGAAAATGTCCGTAAACAGCTCAAAAAAAGTCAAAATATTTTCAAAATTGTATAGAATTTAGAAAATGCTAATTTAAACATTCAGTGAAATTTTCATGTATCTACCGTTGTTCGTTTTTGAATTGTAACAAAAAAGGAAATCGCTATATGAGAAATCGACTGAATCTCCAATGTTGTAAAAATTTGAATTTCAAACACATAAAAATTTAATTTGACTGTCCGGTAGAGATTTTTTTATTGATAAAGGTAGATAATCTTATAAGGAATCTTGTGTTTCATTTTCAAATCTTAGATTTAAAAAGAAAAATTTTTACGAATTCTTAACTCAAAATAATTTGCTAATTTTCGTGATTTTTCCATATTTTGTCAATTTTTGAACTTTAAATGCTTACAAAAAAAAATTGTGACTAAGGATTTTTAATGTTTTTCATCTGCCTTTGAAACAATATATTAGGAGCCTTCTATTAAATTTTCAAGCTTTTGCAACCAACAAATAAAATTTAATTGATATTTTTAGAAAAAAAACTAAAAAAAAAATGGAAAATGAAAATGTCCCTAAACAGTTCAAAATAAATCAAAATATTTTGAAAATGTTATCGTGTATAGAAAATGCAAATATAAACAACCAGTGAAAATTTCATGTATATACGTTCATTTGTTTTAGAGTTACACCAATAACCAAAATCGATTTTTTGGAAAACCAATTTTGCGTAAAAATTCCCGTTTTTCCTTAATTTTTATGTTGTTTTCCCCGGCGCTTCTGAAAACTACTGGGAAATTTATACTTTTGACCCCCCCAAGGTACCAACTAGATTCACTTTCCTATCAGAAAAGCTACTGATGAAGAAAATCCAAGCACTTTTACTGTCCTAAAACGTTATGACAGACACAAAAAAAAATAAAAAAAAATATAAAAATATAAAAACACACATCATTGTAAAACCAAAACATTCATCGCTCCGCTCAGAATCTAAAATGAAAATGTATAATATTGATAGGTATGTTGTAAATTAAATATTGTTCTTTTACATAAAGCATCCTATATTAAAAGTAAGCAATGGATACCTACCTAATTTAGATTTGTTAATAAATAATTCATACATGTTATTATTATCAATATTATTTATTCTAAACCTGGAACTTAGAAATATTGACCACAGATTTTAGCTTTAAATACACCATTAAGAAGTGCTTCTAAAACTATATTACGTGAATAGTTTAAAATTTAAAATGTTTCATTAAATTATTTGTAGTAAATAAATGATTGGTCCTGCAGTATATTTGGAAAGGTTTTGTAAATGTTGGTCCTCAGTTCCTCGCAGTACTGTGAGTGTGCTTGATTTTTCGTAAAAAAAAAATACTAATTCTGGTCATCTCCCTGGGATGGGCGTATTTTTTTAATTTTCCCCGGGTGTTAAAAAGCTATGATCCGGCGCTGTATGTAACTAACACCCGACTTTTTGTTTAAAATATTGTTTACCTACTGTTTTTCATTCAATATATTTTACATACCATACTAAATCAAACTGTTCAATTACGCACACAATTTGCTAATATAAATAAATAATTTTAATAGTATCAATGACATACTGCAAGTTAGTTTAAGTTAAATTATACTTTTATTAAAAACGATGTAATAGATAGGTATGTATACTTAACATATTATATTTTTTAACAAAACAACAAAAATGGCAATGTACCATATTCAAATGGATTTTAATATTGACATCCCTATGATTAATTTTGTTAATTACATGCAGTAAATAGCCTTGATCTGATCATAACAATGATCGTATATTTATTTTCTTGAAATTAATTAGGTACATTAAGACAGTGTAATTTATTAGTACACCTAATTGTGTTTATAATATGTTTTTATCATTTATCATACAATAAACATACATTTATATATATTATACTTTGGGATTTTCTATTTTTTGTAAATTAATGAACTTCATAAATATCGACTTAATAATCGAATTATCGACGCACACTTTTTTAATTACAAAAAGGGCTGGTGCCTTATGGATCATAATTACACGTTGAACAAAGTGCGCTGATAGTTTAGAAAATCGATTAGGTGTATGGTTTTTTTTGACTTCAAACTTTTGGACAGACCCCAAAGCCACAAAAAAGAGATGTAAAATATTATGCGTACTTACACCGTTGATGACTGATAGCTAGACACTCAAACTTTTAAACATTCCCGCCAATGCGTCGAGCATTATCTCAATCTTAAAATCATATCATAAACCCTATCTCTTAGAACAATTATCCAACATTCGATTTACAACAGACACGAACAATACTTCCAAAATCGATGAGCAAGTCTCATAGGCCAACTAGAATCTATATTTTTGATTATTCACTTATCTACGCAACTAACGGGGTCCGCAATCCACCGTAGGTGGAGTGCATACCTGATGATATACGCTTCGCATATTGCTTACCTATGTGATTTGATGACTGATAGCTAGACAATCAAATACACATATCGACTCTACACTTTTTAACGATTTCAACAACCAAAAGCAGATGACAAACGCCTAGAGATCCTGGAGATCGTATCTACTTACAATGTTCGTGACGGATTGCTAGACGATCAAACTTTTAAACATTTACGCCAAAGCGCCAAGCCTTATCTCCAATCCATATCACTAATTCATATCACAAATCCTAAAATTCCATCTTACGACTGTCGCTACTTTTATGATTGAAACGACTCTTATTCAAAAATCGGTACCCCCAAATTCAGCGAGTCTCATGGGCCAACTAGAATCTATATTTTTGATTATTCACTTATCTGCGCAACTAACGGGGTCCGCAATCCACCGCAGGTGGAGTGCATACCTGATAATATACGCTTCGCATATTGCTTACCGATGTGATTTTATGACCGATAGCTAGACAATCAAATACACATATCGACTCTACACTTTTTAACAATTTCAACAACCAAAAGCAGCTGACAAACGCATAGAGATCCTGGAGATCGTATCCATTTACAATGTTCGTGATGGATTGCTAGACGCTCAAACTTGTAACATTCCCGCCAAAGCGCCAAGCCTTATCTCCAATCCTTATCACTACTCCTTATCACAAATCCTAAAATTTCGTCTTACAACCTTTGAGACTTTTATAATTCCAACGACGTTGTCTCCAAAATCGGTACCCACTCTCAGCGAGTTCCACGGGCCCCGAGTTTCACTTAGAGCTAGTCAAACTATATAAAACGTGAAAATTAGTGGCGCGGCCTATGTATTAATCTCTTATATTATAAAACGAGGTTAGTCCCCAGTTTTGTCCGACAGGCGCGACGCAGCAAATAAGGAACGCCAATCAGAAAATTCCGTCGCCCGGCCCCGCGTTATCACTTCTTTTCTTATCATTCCGCCGATTTTTGAAATTTTCGAACATTTACTCTTTTCACACGATTTCGACCGTTTTCTATCGTTTTTCGCCCTTTTTTATACTCGATTCGCGTGCATCGCGATCTCTCGAAGCCGCCGGTGGGCGGTTTATATCCGTGCGCCGCACAGTGGTCTGAAATGTAATTTTAGCTTGCCGAAATCGAATTTTTGATGACAACAATTATAATTGGAGCATATATATATACATTGGGGACAACCTATAGAATACGATAAGTAAACTGTTTGTAGATAAAAATGGTCATTAACATAATTAACGTCTGATATTGAGTGAATAGTGCATAAAATATAATCTGAAATTTGTGACCACGCGCGTTATGTGTTACTCAGCTTTTGACGATCATTGTGAACACAACTGTGCAGTTTCAAGAGTTTATTTTTTTCAATATATACAATGAATCATTTAAATGAAGGTAAGTAGTTAAAATTAGCTAGTATGTAGACTCAAAACTTTTAAATTTTAACAATAAATTTCAAAATTGTTGACGATACTAGTTTTATTTTAAACAATAGAAGATAACTAAAAATTGACAAATTTTGACAAATTATCATTACATGGTACTTATAGTAGACATACTTGGCTTAAATAATACATAATTTCCATTTGCCCCAATTTGCCCCAATTCATTACGTGATCTTTTTTTTTGTAGCTGGATGTAGTCGAGATAGTACGCAAAAAGTAACTTATCGTGATCTTTTTGAAATTTTACGAAAAAATTGGCCCCTTAAACCGTCAAACGTTGAATCAAGACAATTTTTACTGCATAAAATATTAGATATATATAATACGCCGGTATGGGATGATACATATAATGAAAAAATGAACGCAAAGGTTTTAAATTTTACAACTGTGCTTGAAAAAAAATGGTCAGAAAGTAAAAGAACCTATGACAGATTTATTGAAAAAAATAGTGAATGGTTAAAAAAAAATGTCATATTACCTACAGACAATGAAAGTAGTTCGAAAAGTGTGGGTCGACCAAAAATTAATTTTAACGAGTGTGCCGAAAGAACCAAAATAAATAAAGTGAAACATTTAGTAAAATCGTATACTTCTCCGGAACTCAGCTTTGCAGCCTCAACTAAGTATCAACCATCTGGGAAGAGGTGCGTTAGTCAACTTTTTAAGGAAAGTGTAAAAAGTCCGAATCGTGCAAAAAAAATTATGAATTCATATACGAGTACTTGTGTTGAAGATGAAAAACCTATTCCATATAGAATTGATGAAGCTTCTGTTAATGGATAATAAACTAACCAAACAACAGTATGTTAATATACGAATTAGCTCAAAAAAACGAAATTGTGACATATATCCTCCATACGATGGTAATATAACTGGAAAAAAAAAATGTTATCCGAATAACGTAGAAATCACAGAATCAGGATGCAAAATTCCATTGCAAGATCTCTTGGACCACACAACTAATCGAATCATACAAATCCCACAACATATTAGACCAATTGAATCACATATGAATAATTTAGAAATGTTAAACAAGTGGGGGTGTGATGGTAGCAGTGATCAGTCTCAATATAGAATAAATTTTAATCAACCACATTCACCATCATCTACTGATAAAAGAAATTTTTATGTTCTCAATCGTACCACTTCAATTACGCGTAGTAGAAGATAATATTAATTATACTATTTGGGAAAATCCTCGACCATCATCCACTAGATTTTGCCGGCCAATAAAGTTCCTATTTAAAAAAGAAACTAAGGAAAGTACTAAAGAAGAAGTAGAGGATATAGAAATGCAAATTAACAAATTAGTAGCAACAAATATTACACATAATGGCATAAATCTAAATATTCAGCACAAACTCATATTTTCAATGGTTGATGGAAAGGTAAAAACAAGTTTTGTTTCGGATTCTATTCTAATTTTAATTTTTTTTTTTGACATTTTTCTAAATTGATGTATATTTCAGGTATGTAATTCATTGACAAGTACATCAAGTCAGTCTTGTTATATTTGCGGATGTACGCCAAAAAATGTAAACGATATAGATAAACTAAGCAAAATTAAAATTAACTCCGATAATTTTAGGTTCGGGTTATCAACACTACATGCTTGGATACGTTTTTTTGAATGTTTGCTGCACGTATCCTATCGTTTACCTTTTAAAAGTTGGCAAGTCAGGTTAGTTTGTTTAATCGTGTTTTCATATTGAATAAATGTATTAGGATAATTTTTTCTTAACATAATTTTAGATCGGAAGAACACAAGAAAATATTTTCGGAAAGAAAAAAAAAGATTCAAGATGAGTTTAGATCTGAAATGGGTCTTTTAGTCGATATAGTTTTGCAAGGTATAAACAAAAATAACTGAAAGATTATTTAAACAATATTTAGATAATAAATAATATTTTGTTACAGGGCATGGTACGACAAACGATGGTAATACAGCTAGAAATTTTTTTAAAAATTTTGAAAAGTCTGCCAAAATTACCAATAGAGATGAAGAACTTATTAAAAAATTTGGAAATATACTGATGGTTTTAGCTAGTGGTTACGAAATAGATACAGAATCATTTAAGAACTATTGTTTGGATACAGCAAAATATTATATTACTCTATATCCATGGTATTACATGCCCGCGAGTGTACATAAAATATTAATACAATATGGTGCTGATGTTATTCAACACGCACTACTTCCAATTGGTAATTTCTCAAAATATTTATATTACATTCGTACAAGCTTATTATTTTATATATTAACTATTAGGTCAATTATCCGAGGAAGCTCAGGAATGCAGAAATAAGGATTTTAAGATATTTAGACAACATCATTCAAGAAAAAAATCTAGGATCAATAATAATGAAGATCTTGTACATATGTTATGTGTAGCATCGGATCCAGTTATATCAAGTTTACGTAACGTACTAAAAAATATATACTCAAGCTTTCCGATGAAGCACAAAACCTTGTAAATATCGAATAAATAAAGTAAAAATGTATATAAAAAACAGTTTATTATTCCATTGTGCACTAAATCCATTAAATAATAAAGCATCCTTTTTAACTATGATGTGTATGTAATGTAAAATCCATTTTTTTTTCTGAATAAATCTTACAAAATTAAAAACTTGAACGAAAATAAAAAATCGTAAAAAAAAAAAATTATAATTTTTAAAATTTTTTTTAAAATATAAAAAATGTTAACAATAATGGGTTGAATTAACAAAATATTGTCAAATTTGGATTTGTTGCCTTCGAATACATATGTTTTGATGTATTAAATAGTAATATCTAATAAATTAAAGATGATATTAATTTCGGCAAGCTAAAATTACTTGTCAGACCACTGTGCGCCCGTTTGGTGACTTTTGGATCCGCTACTGATAGCTACACTGTTACAGTTATGTAAAATGTATGAGTAAATAAATTGAAGATTCAACTTTCAGTTAGATCATAAAATTGACTACTTGAGTAGGACTGTTACCTAAATAAGATTTTAGCCAATGATCAAAAATATAAACATATACAGGGTGATTTTTTTATCGAAGAACACTCATTATTTCAAAAAGTATTAATGTTTAAGAAAATATTTTTTTACATAGTTTCAAGTTGTTAAAAAACAATATTTTTATTAAAAAATTATATTTTTAAATATTTTTTATCCTTTTAATTTTTTAATTTTTTTACTTTTTTGAATGACAACATCTAATTTTAATTTGATATTCAAAAACAGAATATTTTTCTGATTATTTTAATACATAAAAATTGAATTTAGGGCAAGTAGTTTATGAGTTATAAGTATTTAAAGTTTAGATGAGCGGAGTAGAGGACAAACATTTCGCGGGGTAACCCCGTACCACTCTACTCCGCTCATCTAAACTTTAAATACTTATAACTCATAAACTAATTGCCCTAAATTCAATTTTTATGTATCGAAATACTCAGAAAAATATTCTGTTTTTGAATATCAAATTAAAATTAGATGTTGTCATTCAAAAAAGTAAAAAAATTAAAAAATTAAAAGGATAAAAAATATTTAAAAATATAATTTTTTAATAAAAATATTGTTTTTTAACAACTTGAAACTATGTAAAAAAATATTTTCTTAAACATTAATACTTTTTGAAATAATGAGTGTTCTTCGATAAAAAAATCACCCTGTATAGTATTATGATTTATGATAATAAACATATAAAACATATAAAATATAAGTAGTATATATATACCAGTCCTGGCGCACCCCATAATATATCAGTAAAAGATCACAAAGAAAACAATGTGCAAAAAGATCAGAAAATTGAAATGCAATAATAATAAAAAAAAATTTTCGCAAAACTTATGAAATGCAATAATAATAAAAATATTTTCCGCAAAACTTAATTATTAAAAATAAAAATCGAAATGCAATAATAATAAAAACATTTTTCGCAAAACTTATTAAATACATTTTCACCCCCAAAATATTTTTCATAATACTTATGATATTAATAATTAAAATCGAAATACAATATATCCCAAAAATATTTTTCACAAAACTTATGATATTAATAATTAAAATATTTTTCGCAAAACTTATGAAATGAAATAATTAAAAATCAAAAAAAAAAAAAAATGCAATATTCCCCAAAATACTTTTCAAAATACTTATGATATTAATGATTAAAATCGAAATGCAAAAACGAAATAGAAAACTCATTAAAATTAATTATTATTGCATTTCAACTACCTTAAACAATATTTTTCGTGTACAATTTTGCTTTAGATTTTAAAAGTTATACAATTTTTAAAAACAGAGATTTAAATTATGTGTGTTGAGGTGTTTCGAATGTTGAGTTGCTGAGCCAATGAAATAGATGTTGTGAGATGTCTTGAATGTTGAGTTGTAGTGAATGTTGAGCTGTTGATCTAATACCATAGATTGTATGTTGAGGTGTTGGAAAGTGTTTGAGTTGTAGAAACATAGATTTTGCGATTTGATGTTAATATCTCAGAAGTTAGGATTGCTGGAAAACTTGAACATTGCTTGTAAAATATATTAGTGAAACATAATATTATTCATTAACATGTTCCTGAAAATATATTACATTATTAGGTGTTATATTCCAATTTGCTAGATACAAAAAAAAAAAATTGAGTTTGTTGAATATTTTTTATATTTAAATGAATCTGTAATGAGTTCAATAAATAATAATTTGGAATCTAATCTAGTAAAAACTCCATCCAGCCAAGATTTGTGTGATGGATTTGTGAGTAGCTTAAATAAGATATTTACTTATGACAACAGAACTATAAAAATTGTAGGAACTGTAGATCAACCTTGGTTTAGAGCAAAGGATATTATAAAAATTTTAGGATATGAAGATATATCTACTAAAAAAATATTACAAAGAATATCATCTAATTTTAAAAAATATTTAAATGAAATTATAAAGTTGGGAGACACGTTGTCTCCCAACTCATTAAGATATCATGAAGGCAAGGAAATTTATATAAATGAGGCTGGACTGTATTCTTCAGTTTTGAAATCAAAATTAAAATCTGCTGAAAATTTTCAAATGTATGTATATAGTGAATTAATACCAGGTATTCGTAAAATATCTCAAAGAAAATATGAGAACGAGATAAGCAGCAGAGACAATAAAATAGATACTTTAATATTACAAAATACAAATATAATACATCGTTTAGAATCCATGGAAAAAAGTCATGAAGAAACAAATATTAAATTGGACGACATAAACAATAAACTCGATAAAGCTTTACCTGATCGAAATGTTGATCCAGTTGATAAAGAATTAAAACATCAATATATACTTTTTAAAAATAAATTAATAGATAACGAATACATGTTCTTGAGAGGTCAGGATAAATATATAAGAAATAAAATTAATTTTTACAAGAACAATTTTGATATTATTATAGAACCAAGAGAAAATCCTAACCCTATAGATTTAGTGAACAGACTTAAGGAAAAAATATCACTTATAAATAAAAGTAATTATTCTTATATTGTAGCTAATTTTAAGTGTTCGGGCGAGTACAAAATATTATCTAATACTGAAAAATGCAAAACGATTTTAAATTTAAAAAAAGAAAATTCTAAAATATTATATCGAATAAATAAAATAACATTATTAAATTATTCAGAAAAAATGTTTTTAAAATTAATAAATGAATTAGATAACGAAAAATATAATGTTTAAATTGATATTCCATATTTTATTTTATTGTATAAAGAAATTGAGTTTGTAATTGGAAAATATTATAGAATATGAAATAG